ATATATATATATTGGTTTCATTTGTTTCTCTGCCGCTCACTCGATCCACTGACGCCACCACAACCTCTCTCGCTCCTTCCCTTCTCACCCTCTCTATCTCTCTTTCTCGCTTGCCATTTCTCTGTGGTGCGGACCTGCTCAACGCCTCAGTGGCGCCAACTGCTGAGCGGGGTGGACGGGGGAGGTGTCGGAGGGGCGGCGGGTTGTAGTTCGTCTCCGCCGTCGCAGCCGCCAACGTTAACGTCGGAAGCAAGAAAAAAAGAAAAAACAGAAGCATCAACAAGAAGAAAAAGGGCAAAACATTTCAGCTGAAGGAAGCAGGGGGGCGGGAAGGAAAAAAAAAACAAGGCACACAAAGGAGAGAAAGCGAAAACAAAAAAGGGAACAGGAATAACGGACGGGTGACCATACATTCTCATTGCCATCATCAGCCATCACTGTCGGAGACAAAAATAAAAAAGAGGGAAATACCGGGCGTGTGAAGCCGTCTTACGGGATCCAAATTGGCTTTCGCGCACACACAAANAGACAAAAATAAAAAAGAGGGAAATACCGGGCGTGTGAAGCCGTCTTACGGGATCCAAATTGGCTTTCGCGCACACACAAAGATGGCGGGGGGAAAACAAGAGACGGCACGCACAGGAACTTCTGCAGCGGCTCTCAACGCCGAAGGGATTCCGCAGATGGTTTTGGGCTTCCGTACACAGCAACCGTCCTCGCCGAATTCATCCTCGCAGTCCAAGAGAAAAGAAGAGCCAAAGCTGTACGTAGGACCCATGAAGACGCGCACTCACTCAGTCGAGGCCCCGACGGAGTTGCTGCCGCCGCTACCGGCGCGTGTGCTGAGTTCTGAGCGACCGGCGCCCGCTGCGCCGCAGCATACACCGGCGGAGGTTGAGGGTCTGCCTGGGCGGCGGGCGAGCACGGCGGCACAGGACACAGAGGCGCTCTTGATGAACCCATCGCGGAGCACTGCTTCATCCACGCGTGCCGTGAGTGGAACGGACAACAAGGCACTGCTGCTGCGCCTGGATTCAGGAAAGCTGTTTGCTAACGATGACGATGCATCGTGGCCGAAGCAGTGGGACTGCAGTCCAGCCAGAAGCAAAACGACGCCATTGCCGCCCTCTTCCAAGAGCCCAAAGGCTTCCCTCCAGGCGCAGAATATGGGGGATGATTCCCGTGGAAATGAAAGTTACCGAGCAGATCAGCCTCTTCGTCGTTCGAACAGCTTTGGTTCAGTGGGAAATAAGACGTTGTCTTTGACAGATCTAGCGCCACATAGAAGTCTACACCTCGTGTCTGCGCCCGCATTCTTCAATGAAGACGCTCAGGGGTGCGCGACACGAGCAACACACCCGAGGCCACAGCAGAAGAGCCAAAAAAAAGCAGTGGTGGCCACTAGTACAACTAAGAATACGGCGACACCGCCTGTCAGCCCGCCAACATCCCAACAGTCCCTTGCCTTGATGAAGAGCGTGCAATTGCTGCGTATGAATGCAGTGGCACCACCTTCAGCAAATGCTGCCGTGAAGGCAAATGCATCGACTCCATCATCCATGGATGCCAAAAAGACAGTTAAAACTTCTGCCAGCTCCAACAGGAATGGAAATGAATCTATCGAGTCCTCCACTGTGGTAGTATCGAGGAAGTTATCGAGCACTTTCTCGCCGAGCATAGACAAATCAGGTCAAAGCACTTCGCTACCTGAGACGCCTATGGGCGCTGCGAAGGTCGCAGTAGAGCCAAAAGCGTCAACCCCATCAAATGGCACGCGAACAGTGCCTAGCAACAGTACAAACAACAGCGTTGCAGGTGTTGTGCCGACGGATAGATTGAAGGGACAAGTCGTCATACAGGCCCGCAACGGTAATACGACTAACCCTGCTGCTGCTGCTGCTGCTGCTTCTCCTGTTTCTCCTGCTCCTCCTACTGCGCCAAGTGCGAAAAACGTGGGACACCGTACAAGTGGAGTCTTGTCAGAAAACGCTCACACGTCAGCTACCCCCTCAACTAAGACAATAAGAACGGTGCCAAAGCCAATTGTACTCAACGGTACAATTGTGAAAACCTCTAGCCCCTCTGTTTGCTCGCCCCAAAACCGCAGCAGCAGTGGCGGCAGTGGCAGCCCTGCAGGGCCCCCGCCTGCAGTGACGCAGAGGCGGGACAAACACATAGTGGCATCTACGGTGGCCGGCGAAAACACTGGGGTGGTGAGGGTACTAAGCGCTACCCTCGAAGCTGTAGATAACTCTGCGAAAATTGATAGTAGTGGCAAAAAGCAGCCGCAGCAGCTGAAAAGTGGACGTTTGTCATTAGATTCTTCCTCGACACGGTTGAACAATAGTGTGGCACATGAGGCTTCTATAAACGAGAAAACAAGGTTTGTGCCCCCTCAAAGGGTTGTAGTAAGTGAAAATGGACAAAAGAATGAGAGGACACTGCCACAGCCACCGGCACCACCAACTGTAGTAGTGCGCCCTGAGTTGTCGGTGTCGTCACTTGCCTCAGGGATCAAGTTGGTAAATGGAGCATCAACCATGGGCGTGTCCCCAAGCTCTGCGGATAGGTCGTCGAAGGCAGTCTCCCCTGCTTGGCGTTCGGATCAGCTGACTTCCGTTGGAAGCGTAATCACAACAGATGATGATCCCGAGGCCATTGCGCTGGCGCAATACGCTCAACGGGTCGAAGTGGATCTCTCCATGTCCACATTCAGATATATCGGTGCTGCTCTATCAGTGTCGCGAACGCTGCGTGTCCTTAACCTGAAGGGCTGCACAACCGATAGCGAGGGACTGCGCGGACTCTCGGAGATTCCCACGTTGCATGTCGTTTGTGTGTCGCACATGCGTCGGCTGGGATCTCTGCAGCCGCTTGTCCAGCGCCGCAATGGCCTTATGTCAAACATACGCGAAATCGATGCACAGTGCACTGCAGTAGGAGATGACGGACTGGTGGGGATCGAGAAGATGACGCGCCTGCGGCGACTCGACTTGAGTATGACACTCGTGACAGATGTGAACCCGCTTGCGAAAAGTCACTCTTTGGTTGAGCTGCTTCTTACGGCGACGCCCGTGACGACTGAAGGCATTCGTGATCTGAAGATGATACCGACGCTCAAGGCATTCAACATCAGCCGCACCAAGGTACGGTCACTGGAGGAAATATCCAAATCGCAATCACTAGAGGAATTGCACTTGTATTCGTGCAACGTGGGGGATGTCGGTCTGCGTGGAGTAGAAATGATGCCGAGCCTAAAGGAACTTGACCTGAGCACAACCAAGGTGACAGATCTATCGGTGTTGGGTGCAAGTCAATCGCTGCAAACTCTGACAGCGCAGTGGCTAGCACTCCGGAATTGCCGTGACATAAGAGCGGAGCGGCGCTTTAAGCGCAGTGATGAGGCCCGCTTGGAGACCTGTGGCGAAGAGGACGAGGAGCAGGCGAAGTTAGAAAACCTCTTCGGTGGCGGCGGCGGCGATGGATCCTCAACGGATGATGACCCAGAAGCTGGCTTCCGTGGGTTGGTGAACATCCCAACGCTGGAGCATCTGGATCTTTCGTTCAGCACGATCCGCAGCGTGCGGTCACTATTCGCCAGCAAGTCAATCAAGTCATTGATGCTGCGCCGCACGCATGTTGATACTGAAGGCATTAAGGGTATTCATCAGATGCGGTCGCTGCAGACGCTCGTCATCACCAACGCTTCGGACCCCAGTGCCCAAGAATCCTGCGAGCAGGACTGCCAGGCCTCCACACTTTCGAATGGCATACTCACAACCATCACTGACCTCTCTCGCGTGCTAAATCTCGCCTTCCTTGACCTCTCCTTTACAGACGTGTACGACCTTCGTATGTTGTCGGCGCTCCCAAATCTTCGGGAGTTGTACCTCGTGGAATCGCTCGTTACTGTGGAGGGGATGCGTGGGATTGAGAAGCTTCCCTCACTCCATACCTTAGACATCTCGCAAACAAGTGTTCTCTCATTGCAGTTTCTCTCTACCGGCTGTCAGGTGCTGCGGAAACTGTTCGTGCGGTCAAACCGCAACGTGCGTGGATTTCGTATTGCCAACCTGCACGTCCTCCCAGCGTTGGAGGTCCTTGACGTCAGTGATACCATAGTTGAGGATATCAAAATGTTGTTCCGCCCTGTATGCCGATTGAAGCAGCTCATCTGGCGGTGGGGAGAGCGGCGAGATGTGACTGGCCCGGTGGATGCGCTGCCCTGTTGGGTGAAAACGCCCACTTTGGAGGGTATAGAAAGCATGCCACAGCTGGAGGTCCTCGACATCTCGGGAAGTGGTGTTCACACCGTGTCATTCCTCGCGGCGTCGCGGTCACTGCGGCGGTTAGTACTCGCGCGTTGTGGCTCGCTAGAGGACAAAGGTGTTATCGGCCTGGAGAAGATCCCCACACTGGAGGAACTTGATCTTAGCCACGCGTCCCGCATTGCAGATGTGCGCTCTCTTGCCATGTCATCGAGGCTGCGTAAGCTGTGGCTTGGCTGGACACGCCTCACGCTGATGGGTCTGGGCGGCATTCTGTCAATGCCGACGCTAAAGGTGCTTGACCTCACCTCCACAAGCGCAGAGAACTCGGTGGCGCTGGAGGAGAGCATGTCTGACGCCGTCGTGGTGGCAGGCGGTGTTCCTCTTAGCAGACGTCTAACTGAGAGCTCTATTGCTAGTGAGCCCGTCACCGTCTACAGTGGAAGCACCCCTCCGCAGTTCCAGAAGCGACGGCATCGTCGTGTGTCGTTCGTGTCGTGAGCGAAGCGCTCAGCTATGGGTGCTGGAGACGCTGTGGTAAGAAAGCATATGCTACAGTGTGAGAATGCGAGCAGTTGTAGAGCACAGAAGTGATGAACACTGAGTGAATAAATAATTGCGTAAAGGGGGAAAGGGATGGGGTGACTGAAAGAGATGTGAGGAGTAAATAAATGTATTATCCCCTGTTGAGTTTCATAGGCAAGGCAAGGAGGAAAGGCGTGCGTGAATAAGGTGGATTTTTTGCTTTCGCTTGCGCTGGCGTTTGCCCCCCTCCCCACCCCTTTGTAAGA